CACTTTATTTTCGCTTTCTGGCCCACGTGTGATAACGTCCATTGACAGCTTAGGCTACTTCTTTTGCTCAGTTTGTCTCCAAGATGCTACAAGATCCCTTTTCATAATATAGTTCAGTGCTCATTGGAGATGAAGAAATATTCTCCTATTCACTTAGTTCATACAATACCCTATTGACTGATGCATGAACCTTAATGTAGTAAGTGTCCAAGACTGTGGCTTGTTCTGTTTTTACTCTGGAACCAGATCCTGTAAGCTCCTTGTTAAGCATATAAAACAGGGATAGTGAAGGGTTTGGAAACCATGCCCTATGAGGAAAGACTTTGAGTGTTTAGCCTGGAGAAGAGACAGTTAAGAAGTGATATGATAGCCCTGTTTAAATTGTTGAAGGGCTGTCATATTGAGGAGGGCATTAGCTTGTTTTCTGCTGCTCCAGAGAGTAGGACCTGAAGCAATGGATTCATGCTATAGGAAAAGAGATTCCACCTCAACATTAGGAGGAACTTCCTGACAGTGAGAGCTGTTCGAAAGTGGAACACACTTCTTTGGAGTCTCCTTCTTTGGAGGCCTTTAAGCAAATGCTTTAATTAAAGGGATGCTTTAATTTTGAGTTCCTGCATGGCAGGGGGGTTGGACTGGATGGCCCTTGAGGTCTCTTCCAACTCTACGATTCTGTGATTCTATATTTCATAGCTCTATTCTTTTTCCAAAAAGGCAACCCACGGCCCTCTAAACACAGTATTTGCATGGCTTTCCATTGAGCCTCCCTTCCCCAGCTCCAAAGCACACACCTGCGACTCAAAAGTGTCAACCCTTCCCCTCCCCCAAAACAAAACCCAAAGTGAATTCCACCAAATAAATAAAAATGAAGACTGCTGAAATAAGAGAAAAAGAAAGTTGGGGTCCTGACAGGACTACGTGAATCCTGCAAGGAGCGATTAGGCCGAGTGTTAGCAGTGATGATGAAACACAGCAGCCTGTGGTGATGAAATATTTATGAATGGGGAAATGATATTGCATTCTGCAGTGCAGCACAGGGGGGAAAGGGAAATTTCAAGAATCCTGTAATAGCAAAACCCTCCATTAATTATCAGAAGCAAGCTGGAGTGCCAGTTACTATGGCAACAGTGTCCCCTATGTATTTTGCTCCACTCCCCCCCCTTCTTTTGATTTGGCTGCTCCCTTCTCCTGTAGTGTGTTGCATTTTATTTTCTGCAAGTGAGCTGCTTTTTTTGGTTTTTTCTTGCGATCACTGCTGCAGTCCTTGAGCTTGGACTGATGATTTAAGTGTGTACTTAAAAAAAAAAAAAATACTGCAGTTTCCTGAAAAGCCTCTGGAATGGAAAAAAGAAATGCCTAGTGTACAGAGAGAGTCTGGCACCTAAAAACAAATGTTAATTTAAAATCAATCACAGGAGGCTATTCAAAGGTATAGGGAATTTCTTGTGATCTCTGACCTAATTCTGGTAATGTGGAGTGTGTGTATATATGTATTAGAAATTGGCAGTCAAGGTACCAAATCGGATCCCCTAAGTGGCACCATCTGGCCTTCAGTTGCCAAGCCTCCAGGGCAAAACTGGGGTGTGAATAAGCATCATCTG